TTCAAATGACGGGGAGTCCAGAGAATGAGTGACATATCGTAATTGCACTATTTTAAGTCTTTCTAATTATGTAACATACTTGAGTGCAACTACACTAGTTAGATTAAAATGTGCTTCTCATGCATCTAAGTCAAAATTTCTTTGGAAATTTTAAATTAATTTAAAGTAGAATAGTGTTTGTATTAAAAAAATAAAAAGATAAAAAGAAGTTAAAGAAAGAAAATAATAAAGCGAGGATTAGACACGGCAGCCAACCATGGACATCATCATAACCTGCATAATTGGACAACAATAAGCAATGTTCTAAAAGACGCTAGGCTTTAGTGGAGCGGCGGGCTAAGGCCTAGCGCCTAGGTGGCTAGGCAGACTAGATAGATTTAAGTAAATCTATTGTATTTCGTGTAAATAAGTGTGTGTTTATATTTAAAATATATATAATTTCATCGTAAACTAGAAAATAGAATGACATATATATATTATGAAGTATTGGAACACAATGAAAACATGAGGAGCAAATATATAATGTGTGTTTATTTAAGTGTTCAATAAGTCTCTTACAATTTATTGGAAACAATAAAATGCAAAAGGAAAGTTATCTATTTTCTATCCAAGTGAGTTGCAACCTAGGCAGGTATCTAGGTGGGTCGGGGTGGGCTAGGTGGGTGCCTAGGCGGTCGAGGTGGGTGCTTCAGCGTGTCTAGGGGCCCTTTCTTAATTTTCAAATGCCTAGGCATTAATCAAAGCGGTGGCCTAAGTGGCGCTAGACGGGGATTTTTAGAATAGTGACAAGAACGAAACTACAAGGCCAAACCGGAAAATTAAAAATATTAATACATCGAAGATCCCTCACATAATAATCTTCACGTACAGCTATTTCACCTTCTCTAGTCTTCATCTTCTTCTTTCTGCATTGGTGCGTTCCTCATCAACTCCTCCAAACCAGAATTACACACAAATCCGAGGAGTTTGGGAAAACCTTAATCTTAAATCAATCGCACACCCCCGTCATCAAAACGCATCACTTCGTCCAACTTCCAACTGCTATCATGTTCCCTCTGTTTTTATGTATTTAATTCCTTTTTATAAGCTAATTTAGTCATGCTCTCGCTGAATTTCTCAACCTTTTTGCATATCATTTTTTTATTCGTAGTGGATAGATTGGATGTATATTCATATGTGATTGTTATTGATTTGCGTTTTTCTTTTGCGCCAAAAGATGGAAACTTTTGCAGAAATTGTATGAACTGCTTTACATTGCGGTTTCAGATTAATTAAGGGATCTCATTCTATTGTTGGTACTGAATTTGATTTTTCAAGATTCCCAGGAAAAATAATCATAAGAAATGAAGGTTCCTGTATAAAAAGTTTGATTTGGTGAAAGGATGCAGCTTTCAGTTTTAAGATGATGGGAACACTTAAATGCGATTACTGAATAATTTGAGTGAGATTAAATCTGAAATGTGCGTTACGATTGAAGCGTGATGTCTCGTGGTTGATATTTTCAGTTATGGCTGCTGTGGCAACGGAAGGATCCCAATTTGATGCTCGTCAGTATGATGCTAAAAGGAGTGAGTTGTAAGCTTCCTTCCCCCCTCTCTCGTACCCTTCTCTGATTCCTATATTCGGTGTTTTCACACGCACTAGTAGAAAAACATGTTTGCGCGACGAAGCAAATTTTGTCGCGCAAAGTATGTTTGCGCGACGCAAAACACAAAACGTCGCGCAAAAGACCTTTGCGCGACGACACTTTGCGCGACGAAGGCTGGCGTCGCGCAAAATATCTTTGCGCGACGCAGATACATTTGGGTCGCTCAAAACATCTTTGAGCGACGCCATATTTCGTCGCGCAAAGTGCCGTCGCGCAAAGGTGTTTTGCGCGACGTTTTATGCGTCACGCAAGATTTTGGCGGCAAAACATGAGTGCTTTACCACTTTTTTCCTATTTTTAATTTATTTATTTTGTACTCATAAGCAAACAAGTTTAACGGTTAGATCGTTGAAACTAGTTTCGTACAATGCGTTTCCCATCAAAACGATAGATTCACTAACACTTAGAGTTTATTTATACTTTCATTAAGTATAACATAAGATTTTGTAGTATCCACTTGTGTAAATATTTTAAATTGACGATAGAATTCATTCATTGTATTCATATAGGGTCAAGGAGTGTAGTTGTAAAAAATCATCAAAATCGGAGTTAAAATAACCGTTAAATCGTGATGTTTCGTTTATACCCGTCGAAAAGGTTTGTCCCGTCACTTGATCTTTGAATGTTTTTTTTTTTTTTTGTGATTTTTGGCGTGTACGATCTCGAAGTATATCCAAACAAGTTTGACGGTTGGATTGTGAAAACTAATTTCGTACAATATGTTTCCTATTTTTAATTTATTTATTTTGTACTCATAAGCAAAATGGCAGGAAAAAAAAACACAACTTTGCGCGACGTAGGTACAATTGCGTCGCGCAAAACATCTTTGCGCGACGCAATTGTACCTACGTCGCGCAAAGTTGTGTTTTTTTTTTTTTTTTTTTGGCCTTTTGCTTTTCTTTTGGGTTTCTTTCATTGCATTTTTCTTTTGTGGTATCCACTTGTGTAAATGTTTTAAATTGACGATCGAATTAGTTCATTGTATTCATATAGGTTTAAAGAGTGTAGCTGTAAAAAATCATCAAAATCAAAGTTAAAATGACCGTTAAATCGTGATTTTTCGTTTATACCCGTCAAAAATGTTTGTCCCGTTACATAATCTCTGAATATTTGTTTTTTGCGATTTTTGGCGTATGCGATCTCGAAACATATACAAACAAGTTTGACGGTTAGATCGTTGAAACTAGTTTCGTACAATGCGTTTCCCATCAAAACGATAGATTCACTAACACTTAAGAGTTTATTTATACTTTCATTAAGTATAACATAAGATTTTGTAGTATCCACTTGTGTAAATATTTTAAATTGACGATCGAATTCATTTATTGTATTCATATAGGGTCAAGGAGTGTAGTTGTAAAAAATCATCAAAATCGGAGTTAAAATAACCATTAAATCGTGATGTTTCGTTTATACCCGTCGAAAAGGTTTGTCCCGTTACTTGATCTTTGAATGTTTTTTTTTTTGTGATTTTTGGCGTGTACGATCTCGAAGTATATCCAAACAAGTTTGACGGTTTGATTGTGAAAACTAATTTCGTACAATATGTTTCCTATTTTTAATGTTTCCTATCATTAAGTTTAATATAACATTTTGTGGTATCCACTTGTGTAAATATTTTTAATTGACGATCGAATTAGTTCGTTGTATTCATATAGGCTCAAGGAGTGTAGCTGTAAAAAATCATCATAATCGGAGTTAAAATAACCATTAAATTGTGACTTTTCGTTTATAACCGTCAAAAGGTTTTGTCCCGTTACTTAATCTCTGGATGTTTTTTTTTTCCAATTTTTGGCGTATGCGATCTCGAAATATATACAAACAAGTTTGACGGTTGGATCGTTGAAATTAGTTGAATACAATGTGTATCCCATCACGTTCAAAGGTATATATATTTATTAAGTAAATTTTGAGTAAAATTTACAATTTTTTTTAAAAAAAAAACCTTGCGCGACGTCACAATATGGTCGTTGCGCAAAAGCACTTTGCGCGACGTCGAAATGTATACCTGTGTCGCGCCATGTGTGATAATTTTGGCGGGGCAATAGTAAAAAAATTTCAAAAAATTTACCAAATTTTCCAACCAAAAGCCTTCCGCTCTTTATCTCTCTCGCACTCAGTCTCTCTTCCCAAACCAAACCCAAATCCTTCTCCTAACTCCAGCCGACTATCCTCCTCGACACCCTTCCCTCGACTCTCCAACTCTCAATCGTCCTCCTCCTCATAGTGCTCACGAGCCATCACCGCCGTCGACCAACACAACGGCACCACCCATCATCTTTCTCAATGACATCCCAGAGAACCCAGGCCATCACCCCCGCTGTCATCCCTCTAAAATTTAGGTAATTTTGATTTTGGGTTTTCCTAAAATTTGAATTGCATTTGTAGATTAGTGATTGATGATTGATGGCTGGTGTTATGTATGTTTATAGATGATTGGTTTAAATTTCATGCGACTGTGATAATGTTTTAGGGAAAAAATCATTTTTCCATTTGTCGTTTGGCCCAATTTCATTTGTCAACATCATGATTTCAATTCCACAATTTCCATCTGACCCTTTTCTTTTCTTTGCTGCTATATAAAATGAAATGATACGGTTGATACCGTCCAACCACCGTTTCATTTTTCTGCATTTGAGTTATGATTTGTATGAATCTAAGAAATATTTAAGGTCAAAACTAATGAACTTGACTTAGTAGCTGTAAATCATAGTTAACTATATCCTATGACTTTTGAACCGAGTTGAGATTTCCATAACCAAAGGCATTTTAAACTAGTTGTTGCCTACCGTTGGTCAAATAGTAAAGGTAGTTATAATGCTACTGGGAATTTCAGGACCTCAGCAAGTTCTATATTGTTTTTCCATGTTAGTGAATGCTCTTGATTCTTCATCTCCTAGACTGTTGTATTCATATGACTATGTAGGTCGTGTAGTGGATAATTGATTGAATTTGATGATTGCTAGTTCTGAATCTGCTTTATATGCTGCAACTGAAAGTGATATCATTGTTGGTGTGAAAGTCAGTCGAAATGCCACAACTGAAAGTGATATCATTGTTGGTGTGATGGACACTCGAATTTGACCTGAAGCCGAGAGCTTTAAAGATGAAGGTTTTGGTCCTCCTCCTAAGAAGTGGAAAGGTGTTTGTGAATGCGGCAAAAATTTCACCTGCAACAAGTATGTCTCTCAATATTTACATGCATAAAGTTATCAATTATACGAATTAAAACTTTTGGTTGAGTTTATTCATTTCAAAATTTCATAATTAAACTACTTTTGTAATGGTTTTGCCTTTGTACTTTGCAACATTTAGTTAACATCAAGAAATGTTTGTTTTGCAGAAAGATTGTTGGTGCTCGATATTACTTAACCATATTTAATAGTTATAAGGTTGGTTCTGTGTCAAGTGTAGTACCATGGATATTCACAGTTGCAGCTAGTACCACATATCGCCGGATTGACAGCATTGTTCTTGCAAACGGAAAGAAACTAGTCGTATGTCTCATCTGCTTCCTTTTTCAACAAAATAAAAATATTTTATGAATACTTGTACATACTGTGGCTCAGATTGTTTTCATTTCAATACTTTTTAATGTTCTTCTCACAAACAGGGGCACTCTACGAACACGTTCACATTAAATGGAACAAATTTCCTCTCATATATGGAAAAGATGCTTCAAGAACAAATTGCTCTCAAATGCTAGCTAGGTAATTCTTGTCCCCGTTTCACTTTTACTGCATACAATATAAAGGAATAAAAATGAAACTATAGTACTGACTTCTTGTTGCATTTTAGTATATGTTGGGAAGGTTTCCTGGACCCTGATTTAGTTAAGGGAAAGATAGTTGTATGTGAGAAGAACACTGGAATTCCTGGGGCTTACAGATCTGGGGCAGTTGGGATAATTTTTGTTAATTTTATGAACAAAACTTTTTCTCTAGTTCTCTCATTTCCTGGGCTAAATGTGGTCAAGTCCTACATGAACTCCACCATGTATAGATTCATTTCAATACTGTTAAGGTTGGAGATTTTTGATCACGTTGCTTTTTAAATTCTTGAAAGCCTCTGTTATTTTACAGGGTCCCTCAAGCGACGATATTACAAAGTGAAGTCATAAAAGATGTTGCTGCGCCTCTTGTTTCTATCACGTCTGCGACTGGACCGAATTTAGTTGACTATGTTATGAATTTGATGATTCTTCATCTCCTAGACTGTTGTATTTATTTGACTATGTAGTTCCAGGGTGAGCAGATGAAGGCCCACGGCGAAGGGATGAGGACCTATACGGGGACAGTGAGAGACCTTGTACGAGTCATGTCCAACCTCCAAATCTCGCTACTAGCACTTAATCTTGCTCCACCATCGACCTCAGAGCCACCTCACCTTGCCGATACTCAGTAGCTTGATGTATTAAACCTAGAAGACTACTTGTAGTTTTTTCTTTTTTGTTCGAACATCTTGTATGTACATTTTATATATTTTATAATTAAATACTTTTGCTCGGTTAATTCATTATTGTTTAGAATTTAATTACAATATTTATTAAAAATTTTAAAAAAATATTTTTGACGAAAACAAAGAAAAAGGGTTTGCGCGACGTATGCCCACGTCGCACAAAGACACTAAGCCACTTTGCTCGACGAATATCCTATGTCGTGCAAAGGCACCTATGCCACTTTGCGCGACGCAGTCCTAGGTCGCGCAAAGCCACTTTGCGCGACGCACATCCTCTGTCGCGCAAAGCCACTTTGCGCGACCTAGGACCGCGTCGCACAAAGTCACTTTAATTCACTTTGCACGACAGAGGATGTGCGTCGCGCAAAGTGTCTTTGCGCGACGCACGTTACTTCGTCGTCGCGCAAACCCTACTGTCACTGCCTTGGCGCGACGGTTATCGCGCGACGAAGTTTCGTCGCGCAAACCCTTAGGCAACGAATTTTTACTTTGCGCGACGAAGGTACCTACGTCGCGCAAAGTGTTTTTCCTACTAGTGACGGTACATATTTTGTGTTGCCAATGATAAAGATTTATTCTTGTTTTGTTGAACTGATGGGGCCAGACTTGGAGGTGACTGGCAAGAGTTTTTCACATCGTATGATGAGGTTCATGACGGCTTTGGCGCTATGGGATTGCAGGAGAACCTTCTTCGAGGCATCTATGCATATGGTAAATCAAACAACGCTACATTTGTTTTCTTGGGAAATTAAGAGTTTCCGAGTATGGTACTTTTCAAAACCTGTTGGGAAATTTTTGGCTAGACTTGCCTGATCAGGTGATATTAGTTTTTCAGCGTGTTAGGGAGATACAAGTTTATAACTCCATTTTGCATCAATTGAGATTGTCGCCGTGTGTGTAATTGTACGAGTATTTTTTTTATATGGAAAATGAAGAGTTGGTCTAATATTTTAGGTTGTGACTTGTAAGATTGTTTACGCGAGAAGTGAATGGTGTTACCTTTGCTTGAAGTAAAATGCTATACCATTTACCACTGCCTCTTCTCTATTCACACACACACATATTCATATGCTTGTTGTTGGTTGGTATGTGTATACTACGAATGCAAGTCATCCTTGTAGTAGAATGGATAGCTGATAGATGGTCCAAACTTTTTCTTAAGGTTTTGAGAACCCCTCTGCAATTCAGCAAGGGGGTATTGTTCCTTTCTGCAAGGGACTTGATGTGATTCAACAGGCACAACTGGAACTGGAAAAACAGCGACATTCTGCTCTGGGATTTTGCAGCAGCTTGATTATGGCTTACTTGATTGCCAGGCATTGGTTCTTGCACCCACACGCGAACTTGCTCAACAGATTGAAAAGTTTATGAGAGCACTGGGTGACTAACTTGGTGTCAAGGTTCATGCTTGGGTTGGTGGGACCAGTGTTCGTGAAGATCAACGCATTCTCTCCAGTGGGGTCCATGTCGTTGTTGGCACTCCTGGTCGTGTATTTGACATGCAACGAAGGCAGTCTCTTCGTCCTGCTTACATTAAGATGTTTGTGTTAGATGAAGCAGATGAAATGCTTTCACGAGGTTTCAAGGATCAGGTCCTTAGTTTCTTTTTCATTTGTATTCTCTGTTTCTTCTGTGTGCCGATACTTCTTGCTACAAAAACATGAGTTTGGTGATCTTTCAATATTAAATTTACGTTTAGTTTGCGTGCTATTTTGGTTAAGTGGTGATTGTACTAACAATCCCATTTCATGTTTTCAGATCTATGACATTTTCCAGCTGCTACCACCGAAAATCCAGGTGGGGGTTTTCTCTGCCACAATGCCACCAGAGGCCCTTGATATCACTAGGAAGTTCTTGAACAAACCTGTAAGGATTTTGGTGAAACGTGACGAGGTATCAAGTAGTTTCATGTCAATGTTGAGAAAGAGGATTGGAAACTGGAGACACTTTGTGATCTTTATCAGACCTTGGCAATTACCCAGAGTGTCATCTTTGTGAACACCATGGCGCAAAGTTGATTGGTTAACAGACAAGACGCGCAGCCGTGATCACACAGTTTCTGCCACCCACGGGGACATGGACCAAAACCCAAGAGATATTATCATGAGAGAGTTTCGGTGTGGTTCTTCTCGTGTGCTCATAACCACTGATCTCTTGGCCTGTGGTATTGACGTCCAGCCGGTCTCCCTTGTGATTAATTACGACCTTCCAACACAAGCGGAGAAACCTCCATCATATTGGTCGTAGTGGGAGGTTTGGGAGGAAGGGTGTTGCCATCAATTTCGTCACCAAGGACGACGACAGGATGTTGTTTGATATCCAGAAGTTTTATAATGTTATCATTGAGGAGCTGCAGGCAAATGTTGCTGATCTGCTCTAAATAAGGTTTTGCATTGGTTTTGGTAAATTGGCTTTGAAATTTAAAGCCGTATTTATTTTCTTGTTGGTGTAGGGGCGATTCTTTAGCATGGTTTACTTGGAACTGGGGTATTCCCGTTTCAGGTGTGGAAAAAACGACTTGAAAGTTTTTGGTCGAAGGTTTTGTTGCGTGTTTTTTGTAATTTTAGTATGTAAGACGGTTTTGCAGCATTAAACTGTTTTGTCTGGTTCTTGAGATGGAATATTCCGTTGGAGTCATAGAAACTTCTCGACAGATTGATGCAGTTTTGACTTTTGAGATTTGTTTGTTTGTGTTGTGAAGGGTGAATAGGAAAGCTGTAACGTAACAGAGACCTTGCCCGACAACGACGAGAGATCTTTATCTACAACCGGATATATATCCTCGTGCATTTACAACGACGAAAATACAGATACTGCTCAAGCAAAATGACCCAAACGCAAAAGGGTTGAACTCGTCAACATAATTAAAGACAAAAGAAGAATAAGGTTCTTTGTTTTTTGGTTGAAGTCATTGTGGAAAAGAAAACTTGGGGATGGATGTGAATTAGAAGGAGGAAAAGAATAAAAGGGAGAAAGGTTTGATGAGGTTCCCTCATAACAAATAATTGTTGACAACTCTTACAACAAATAATGTGGCTATTTGTATAAATGTTTTTAGTGACCACTTTGATGATCATCTTCCTAGGTGAACTGGGGCCTTGCACTAACAAAATGGTTTACTTCAAACTCATATTACATGAAATATGTGAAAATGGAAATCGGGAATTGAAAGTTTAGTGTCTTAAATATTGTAGGTTTACGGATGAATGATGAGTATGATAAGTATTCTAATTCATCCGTATATTACAAACACATGAAATTTTAAATAAAATATGGGCTGTACATTCAAATGTGTAACCGATTATTTGAAGAATCAGGAATGAAATCAACTAAAGAAGGCAACTTGACCCCACACCTATTTCTTCCTTCTCTTGCGCATCAATTATTTTATGATTTCATCCATTCTATTATTGTGTGTATAGCGTTCCTCAAAATTCTGTTTTTGATTAAAAATTAACAACTATTTTATTTGTGTATATTTCCTTGGAAATTACTTCATGTTGAAACATATTCAAATTTGAAATAACTTTTGGATTCATAAAAAGTGGTGTTTTACACATACTCATTTTTACTTTTTATACATTTCTGTTAATTATATTATTTAATTATTTTCAATTCATTTAGTCCAACGAGCACAATATATAAATTCATTCGATCAGATAACCACAAATAAGAACAAAATTAGTTTCTTCATAGCATAAAATTGAGTTGTAAGGCAGATTTCAAAAAATAAGCCTTTATTCTTTTATGCATAAAATTCATCTTTTTCTTGGTCAACGGATAAAAAATAGAATCTTAATGAAATATTTTGGATACTGTTCATTTTTAACGTTAAAGATATTTTTACTTTAAAAAATTTAAAAAGTAACTTATAGTAGTATTCATTTACAATAATTTTTTATTTTTTTTATTAAAATTCAAGATTTTTAAACTTTTTTTATTAATTTTAAAAAAATAATATTAACGAACATTGTCGTGGACAGACAACATGATTCCCCGCGAAACACGCCATCTAGAATCACTCATAAGGTCAGCTTTTACCCAATAAAAAAGTTTGAAAAAAAAGAAATCCAAACAAAACATCTCTCTGTAGTCTTTTTCTCTTACTTTTCTTCTTCCTCTGCCACAAATCCAAACCCATCAAACGGTTGGAAAGCTCTCTGCCACCATGGAAGAAGACTACAGCAGATCAAGGTCTTCGTACGGCGGCGGCGGAGGGAATAATATGCAGGTGGGAACCTACTATGGACGCCCAACGAGGCCGCCACCCACCACTTCCTCCTATGAGCTGAGGAGCTACAGTACTTCATATGCACAAACCCAGATGGCTAATCATAATTATAACTACAATAACAGGGAGATTAAACTGAAAAAAGGGAAAAGCATTTCTGGGTCGTCTTCCAGTTGGGGGATCCTGGCTGATCCGGAGTTGCAGAGGAAGAAGAGGGTTGCGAGCTACAAGATGTATTCTGTGGAGGGGAAGATGAAGGGCTCGTTCAGGAAAAGCTTCAGGTGGCTTAAAGATAAGTACACCCAAGTGCTTTATGGCTGGTGGTGATTGAAAGTGATCAATAAGTGCTTTTTGGTGGGTAATATTTAGCTTTTGTTCTATTTCTAAGTCTTGAATTGAGTTTATGGTTGTGATCATATAAAAAAAAAAATCATGATTTGGGTTTGGTGCAAGTTAATATACTGAACTGAATCGTAAATTGGATGGTCTTGTTTCTGGTTTTGAATCAATTTGTCACCTTTTATAAATATCCGTATTGTTCTCGTTAAAAGTTATACGCTTTGAGGTCCGATGAGCGTACTTTGTGGACAACTTGTTTGGAGATATTGATATTTCTCACCTTCAAATTGGTTCACGAGTTTGATTCTCTGTTCTGGTGTGAGGTTTTATGTACCATGTAAATCTGGATGTTCTAATTTTTTCCCTTACCTTTCATATTTAGCCTTTTTGTTGTGTGCTTTACTTTGCAACCTGCAATCTGATAGGTGCTAAAAAATCATTGTTCACTTTCTTGACCAGTGTCGAAAAACGCTTTTTGATAGGCAAAAACGCTTTTGATTTTATTTGGCAGAAAACTTAGAAGTGCTTATGTCTCACATAATTTGTTAATAATCAAAAGTACTTTTAGTATAAGCACTTATTAGCAGAAGTGTTTTATAGAGAAGCAACTCCAAAGGGCTCTAAGTGTCATCCATGGCTGTTTCAGTGTTTCTAGAGAAAGACGTGACTGCCACATGAGTGTAATATGAATATGAGGTTATATCTCCGGTTGTATGCAAGATTCTCACCAATATCTATTGCGAATGATTTTTAGCCATTGAGTTGGTTGACTCCTTACAAGACCAAGTATTTTTGTGGTTGAGATGATTTTAGGAGCAAGACCAACCTATGAGGTTTTGGCCTTGGAATTTCTGACAACCCGTGTGCATAATGCCATTGCAACTGTTTCCATGATCTCCATTTTCTCTGCAAAAGACTTGTAGCCCGAGTAGTTAAGAATATCATTACACTCGAAATCTCGTGTTTGATTTCTCCTCGCCGGCTTGAATTGATGAAAAGATAAATCATCTCCCTCAATTATTTTCAGTGTTTCCTGTTTTTATCTTTTGGAAATGGCTAATACTCCTGCAATTGGAACAACTAGACCATCGGCTGGCATTTATGTACAATGATTCACAGTGTTGGAGCACCATAGGTTGAAGAAGAAATAATCTAAACTCCGTGGTAGGGCTCCATGAAAATCTTTCAGAAGCGCAAATTTGTTTTGCGGGATTAGATACAGCTCTTCGATCCACAAAACAGGATCAAATCGATAGTGTGTGCCGGTCGATCAGCTGGTCTCTGATCACGCAGAACGGGATTCGACGCCTGAATGGCTGAATGCGCTGTTGGAAACTTGTGTTATGTGGGACTGCCAGTCCCACATCGCCCAAACCCTTTACACTCTAAGTCTTTATAAGTGATTTCACTCACTTATAGTTTGAAAAGAATTGAGCCAAAGCTATGGACTTTGGGCCTTAGAATTGGAGAGTTTGGGTGTATATATTTAATGTCAAAGATGGGCGAAAAACACAAGTTACGTTTTTGATTTTTTGGATTCAGTTTTTTCCGAAAGGATAAAAACTGTCTGAACAGTTACGTTCAGTTTTCTAACAGTTGCATTCGGTTTTCTTTTTAAAAAAACTGATAAGCATGAATGGTTGGAGAAGTTCACATCATGCCATTATATATAGGGCAATAAAATCAGAAACAATAATCAAGTTTTTCCAAATTCATTCCACCATATTTCGCTGAGAACCACACAACCAATTCGCCAAGAATCCAAGTTCGAGTGCAAGAACTTGGATTAGATAGTTGTATCCTGCAAGATAGACGTCCATCGAACTGCTGCACTAGTGTAGGGACGAATTTCTGTCTTAGGAGATTGCTCTGCAAGCCTCTATCGTCAAAGAACAAGTCAGTGATTTGTGATTTTATATATAATTACACTAAGTGTTTATGTTTTAATATATTGTATTTGTTGTTGAGTTTTACCATTTGAAATAAAACTGTGCAAATTGTTTTATAATATATACTTAACGTTTGATTGGTTCTAACATGCGCCTGTTTTGAACTTGGAACCAAGAGAATGTAATACTTTCACTTGAACAAATCTCAGAGACCCTGACCGTATTTTGCTCCTAATTTTCAATGCCACCCCAAGGAAAAGAAATATTACTATTCATTAGGAACTGTCTAATAAGGTTTTGGAATCAGTTGACTAAATTACTTTGCGTGGGATGCAAGTGCTTTTAGCTAAATATTAATAGGACAGCATAGCGTCTCCTTGCTAAGTCAGAGTACTCAAAATTCCCAGTCAAATTGTCTCAATCATTTGCAGTGCCTGAATATCTCAACATCCGGAAAAGCCAACACTACGGCACAACGGGAAGCGAATTCTACACAAATAGCGCCGGTACTTGAAAGCGAAGGAGAGGCAATTTTTTGTATGAAAAATCGGAATCAGGACTCAAAAGAGTTAAAAGCCAGAATTAAAGAGGCTCAGAAGCTGAAGGAAGAGATTGGTCGAGATACAACTGAGCTGAATATAGCTTTAACGAAAAAGACTCTACGTGTGCAGTCTGCATGAAGTTATTTGACTGCATTTCCTAATTCAATCATCAAATACGATCACGAATTAAGTATGTGATATTTTATTGAAATTTATGTATTAACAGTGTGATAGGAATCGGTTGAAAGAACCAAATAACCATGAATGGAGACTCGAATTCAGTTTGGCCATGGAGAGGGAGGAAATGAATATACTGCACTGTTTCTGCTTCGTTTTGCAAACAAAGTTCATCAAGGAAAACCAATGAAGCCCTTCTTGCCGCGAGAAGAGATCTCTAAGCATTTAAGAGTTCTACTTATTAGGTACCAGCGTCGGTATGTAAATGTTTCTTGATTATATAGCCTTTTGAGTTTGTTGGAAATGTGATCATGGATTCTGTAGAAAAAGAATTTCCGGATGGTACATGAAACAAACAGTTTGGCGGAGGAAAAGCTGCTTTTGAAAGAGATTGATGAGAGACCGTAGGAGGTTGTTGGTTCATTTCCACCTTTGAAAAAAATTGTTATCTTCCGCCTTATTTAGATGTAAGATTAAACAAGAAGTTTTAAGTTCTCTTAGAGTTACTCAACTATATGAAGCGTTCTTATCGGTAATAACTTCGTAAATATTCAGTTGAGATAGTGAATGTGTTCTTACCGGTAAGAAGTTGTGTAAATATTCAGCTCAGATATTGACCGTCTTCTTATATTCAACTCAGATATTGAACGTCTTCTTACCGGTAAGAAGTTATGCAAATAAAAATTTATGTCATGACTTGTCTTGACACGCTAACCCTCGTATCATGGCACGCCAAAGCATCGTTTTTGGCATACAATGACATGTCAAGGGATGCATTTTGCCAACATTGCGCACTTGGCGTGGCTTGCCTTGACACGGTAACTCTTGTATCAGGGCACGCCAAAACATCACTGTTGGCCACAACATGACAAGCATAGTGAATTGTCGTATGAATGCATGTCAAGACACGCCATGCATTCTCTCTAAACCCTAATGCTCTGCTTGGTTTCTCAGAAAATTTAGGACATTGAAACTAAGAATTTGGAGAGGAGAGAAAGAGAGGCTTACATACGTAATCGGTGAGTGACAGAGCCCGTTTATCGGAGAAGCCAACAACGTCATTATTTCATGGCTTGTCTTGATACGGTAACCCTCACATCGTGGCATGCCAGAACAAGCTGACATTCGATCAACTGATTCTACTTCTGGAATGAAGCAGCTGAGTGTCAATCCTTGCGAACACCATCAAGTCTGAAAGATGTGCAAAAATAATTTGTACAATTGTGGCACGTCAACATTTTGCCAACACTTTGCCACCTATTTTGAAATAACTTAGATGTCGACAATGCATGTTGTGTCAATTGAGATACTTTGCCTACTATTTCAGAGTATTTTAGATGTCAGCAATGCATGTCATGGCATCCTAATCCCATAATATTCCCATCACATGCCAAGTGCACAAAATGTCAGCAAAATGTATGCCATGACATGTCATCATATGCCAACAACGATGTTTTGGCGTGCCACAATGCAATGGTTAGTGTGTGAAAGTGTGAGAAAAATGCATGTCATAACAAGTCTCGCGAGTTGTCAGGATAATGCATGACATGACATGTCTTGACACGCTAACCCTAACACTCGCATTGTGGCACGCCAACATTTTGCCAACACTTTGCCTACTATTTCGGAGTAATTTAGATGTCGGCAATGCATGTCATGGCATCCTAATCTCATAAATGCATGTCATGACATTCTCATCGCATACCAAGCACACAAAACGTTGGCAAAGTGTATGCCATGACATCATTGCATGCCAACATACATATTTTGGTGTGCCACGATGCAAGAATTAGGGTGTCAAAGTGTTAGAAAAATGCATGCCAAGCTTGTCTCAACACGCCAAAATATCACTAACATTTGATCAACTGACTCTACTTCTGGATTGAAGCAGTTGAGTGCCAATCCTTGCAGACACCATCAAATTTGAAAGATGTACAAAAATAATTTGTACAAATGTGGCACACAAGCGTTTGCCAACACTTTGCCTACTATTTCGGAATAACTTAGATGTCGGCAATGCTTGTCATGTCAATTGAGACATCAAAGGTAATGGGATGATGAAGCCATTGCCGATTAGGCTAATGCAAATGCTATTGCCAATTCCAAGGGAACGATTTGGGATTCTTTGAGTTCGAAAAAAGAGTTACAAGAACAAGTCAAAGTAACATATAAACATAATTCTAACTCATGAAATAGAGTAAAGTTAAAGCTTTGAAATTTGTTTCCTACTGACTTTCTGATTTAATTTCTTTACACAATATTGCAGGTAAGCGGCAAGAAGGTTGATGAAGTAACGAATTCACTATTGGCGGTGCGGCCAAAAGTTAAGAAAGTTGAGAAGGAATTGAAGGCCATTGAAAGAGATATAGAATGCTTGAAGAAGAAATTGACACTGACGGATCAAATGAAATATGAGGCGTATAGTACTTTAAAGATTCTCTGTTTAATTAAGAAAATGCAGCAGAGACCAATGCCTGCCTTCTAGAACCAACAAAACAACAGAGAGATCAGCAAAGGTTACACTTACACGAATCCGTTACAATTTTATTTTCGCCTTA